AAAAAAAACACAGAGAAACTTTTGAACTGCTCCATTTCTTGAATATTTTGAATGTGGGTGTATTTTCTACTTCTGAGTACTTGCCTACTATTTCAGGTCCACTGCACTTGGCACAGTTGGCAGTCCTTGAGTAGCCTGCCAGTCAAGATGAACGACCTGCATGGGTGAAAACATGGATGAACACCTTCGGGCAAATTTGTTTCAGTCTTTTAGCTCTTCTAAGTTCTAACCCGTACCCGTGGAGGACGATTTCAGAAGTTGATATATCAAGTAATAAGCAGCCCAAAACCAAAAGGCAATGGGGGCATCCTCGACCTCTGCTTTCCCATGAAGAAGTGCGTAATCTACTTACTGCTCACTGCCTCCATCCAGCCAGTACTCCAGCGAGCTACTGCAAATTTCCTTTGCTACCTGATGCCATGAAGTAAATTGGTGAACTGCACTGTTTATACTCCAGCGTTCGGTTGTATTACTCTGCTTTGTCAGGCAGACCCAGCTTTTTGATCAGAACATGCAGCGTTTGTTTGATCTCCTTTATTTACATATGGAAATTTCAGATTTCACTATTTCAAAAGAACAAACATTTTGTTCTACTGTACAGTTAACAAGATTGGTCTGCTACTCTGCTTGCCGTCAGTCACTACTCTTCAGAACATGCAGAAGTACAGGCAGCAGCCAGTGAGGTGGAACTTTTGTGAGTGATGCACGATGCGTTTTTCCCTGACAGTGCGTTTGTCCGACGATATGTGGATGTGACCAACTTCTCGTCAGCCTCATGAATTCGCCACCGACTACGGAGGCTCACTCAGAATCGCGCCGCTTCTCTTCCCGTATCCGTGGTCTGTGCGTGTCGACCCTGCCACTCAGGCGAGGTCGTGTCCGTGTCCTCGCCCCACTGCAGAGAGCACGGGGGCATCGGTGCCGACCGGCCGGCCTAGGATGGTGGAGCAGCGGGCAAGGGAGGCGCGGGAGCCTTGTGCTGGGTACGAGTACGACGGCGACCATGCAACGGCGACGGCGGAGCGTCCTGCTATGCTGGGCTGCTGGCCGTCGCTGTGCAACGCTCAAACAGTAGGCGGTGCGTGCCGCTCGTTCGACAAAATGCGGCACAGGTGGAGACTGGAGACTGGGGAGTTGGAGCGGAGGCAGGTCGTCATCCAAAGAGCAGCGGGCTTGCCGGTCACCATGCTACGCGCTACTACTCCACGGCATGTCGGCATCTTCCCCGAGATATTTCCTTCCCTGCTCTTTGGTACGCATTCTCAGCTCAGAATACCTCTCTTTCTCTTTGTCTCTCCACACTTGACGAAGACTTTGAGTCAGTCAACCACTTTTGTCTCGAAGAATAGTTCACAGTGCAGGGCGTGAACATTTGCAATGACAACACGTTACTGTGGAGGAATTGCATGACCCCGTAAGCCTTCATTAGAAATCCTGATACGTAGGCCCTTAATTCAGTCAGACACTCAGACATTTAATAACAAGCTTAAACAAAGAAACATGTGCTTCCTAAACGGAGAGCACACATAGGACATGATGCATGTCTATCTGGATAGATGATAGGTTTAGATCACAGAGTTTACAAAAGGTCCAAATCTCTGTCTTTACCCCATCCTTGACAAGTTGGCAAGGTTTGAAAGCGTGATATTGCGTTAGATATTTAAATTGATTCTAACAGGTGGGACCGAAGTTGAATTTCTCCATTCATCAGTGGTGCTGTCGACTAAATATGACTATGGTGACCACATCATCCTCATCTCCTATCACTGGTCATGGTCGGCAGTTGATTAGTTCACAAGGAAGCACCACAATTCACAAGCTAAGCTAGCAGAGGCTATCCTTTAAGCTCTGGTGTGCGTACATAGCAGATTAGCAGAGGGGAAAAGGAAGGCAGCAGTTCCCCGAGCTCCTGGTATTTACTTCATTTCTCACAAATAATATAGCATCCTGTTCAATTGTGTTTCTTGCTCCAGTCACGTTTATCCATTTCTTCACTGATGCGCTTCCTGCATTACTCCTTGTGTCCTTGTTGCTTCCCTTTGTCTGCAGTTGATTAGTTCACTAGGAAGCGTCACAAGCTAGCAGGAGCTCCCAAGTTCTCTCATTCCTGGCCATCTTTATTCTGGAAGCTCTGGTCTCCATACACTGCAGAGGAGAAAAGGGAGGCCACATTCGATTCTGGGACGATTAAAAGCAGTACATCTGAGCTTCAGAAAGCTCTGATTTGCACATGTTGCATTAGAGCAAGGGTTGGCACAAGTAGTACGAGCATGTTGGGATCCAGGTATTACACATTACTTTTCACTAAGGACCCTGTACCTTATTGATTTGTTTGTTGCACGTTCGAGAAAACATTTTTTGTTTGTTGCTCCTGCTAAGTTCGTCCATTTGTACTCTGGCTTCTTTGGTCTGCTTTGAACGGTAATCTCTTTGGACAATAACTTGGCCTTTTGACTTCTGAGGTACTGAACTGAGGGCTGTATGTCATGAATCATAACAGCAGATCTGAGCTCCAGGTCGCCTGTTCCTTTTTCTTTTCTGTTTTCCTTTTTCTTTTGCTCGGGCTACTTTTATCCATTTTTCTTCAACAACGGACATCTAGAATTTCTGCTTTCGATGCAATTATTTCCCAAAAACAAAACTGGTGATTGTTCTGCCTATGGTCAGGTACTGGAGGGCTGGAAACTCAGAATTCATACATCATTAGTACAATACGTGATTGTTGTCTATTCTCCTGAGCTAGAAGCTATGGCTTTTTTGCTGCTTATGATGTGCTTAAAACACATAAACCTTTGCTTCCTAATCAAAGGGCAGTCACACGACGTGAGTCACCTACCTGGATTGATGTTACGTTCAGACCACGCAATAGTTTACAAGCTCTTATGATGAGAGATCCAATTACAACAGTGTGAAGATTGACAAACGCTCATGGCTAAATTTTAGAAACGACAGCGTTGACTCTCTTTGCATCCTTCGATAAATAAAATTGGGTCTTGAGTTGTTTTGTCTTAAATTTCTTTCTTTGTCTTAAAGTGTTGGGTTGTAAAAAAAAAAGGTTGGTTCGTTCCTCTTTAATATAAAGGGATAAAAGCCAGAAACTTCTTTTTATTATCTACTAAAAAAATGTGTTCCAGTGATATGACTTGACCACGACGGGAGCGGGGGGGCAGATTCTAATTCCACGACCCACTCAGCCGCAAGAGGAATCTATATATGCGATGCACTTTGCCGGGTAATTTACTTTAGCCGTCCACATCTGCTTTTGCTTGTACTCCTAGAGACGACTACACCTTGCCTTAGCAGTTGCTGCCCTCCCTTACTTCAGAACCTAGCAGTGCAGAAGCAGAACCCTGCCCTCGACTCGAGGTCAGGAGATAAGTTGATGCGCCTGCATGCGTTGTGCAAACCAAGGCCGGCGCCCAAACTTTCCGTCTTGCTGTACACACAAGCAACGGCAACACATCTGAGCTCCAGGTATTTTGCTCTACTACTCTGCCACCTCTTCGATCATTCAGTCGTCATCCACCCTATATATTTCCTTGTACTCCTTCGCCTGCTATATATACTTTCTGCTTGCACCTGTAATTTCTTGGGTAAATAACATGAGCTTTCTTCTAACTGGTCTCAGCTAGGTACTGAACTGAAGGCCGAACACTCCCTAGTCATAGATCATGGCAACTATAAGGATGCTGTCCTATTGATTCTTCTCTACTTGTGGTATGTTCATCTTACCCTGGTTCACTGGTTTTCATGTTTCTTATCTCTATTCGACCGACTCAATGGAGGACGCTACCTTCCTTGGCTTAGGGGCACTAAAACTTGATCTGCTCTAAGGGCTCTTGTTTTGACGCAACCTCTGGGTTTTCTCAAGCTTCTCAGGTTCTGCCAAGTGCACATGATATACATTCATCTCTGCTTTGCCGGGTAATTTAGAATTATATATAGATGCAATTTATGGGTTTTAAATTATTTTTCATAATAATAGATGTTTTAATTTAGTTGTAGATTTAAGGGGAAATTTTAGTTTCTCTAATAATGACATAAGTGGATTTTTTTGAAGTGTCACCGGGGGACAATCCCCACTTGAATAGTTTTGATATATTGTCAACAGCCTCGTTTCTGGGGAACGAGGCAAAACCGTTTTGTCCGGTTAATTATCAAAAACCGGACTAAAACCATACAACGGCCCTAGCACAAGGGCGAGGTTGTGGCATATCCACTAATAAGGAAAATAAAACAACAACAACAACAAATGCCCCTGCCCCAGGGAACGGTGGCACAAACACAAAAATACCACGAAGAAGAGAAAAGCAACACCACCATTACCACCAAGGCACATGAGCTCTTAGGTGATGCAGGAGCTTAGCAAGGCTTTCGCCCAAGTCTTGTGCCGAGGAGAACTACACATTGACCTGGCTGACCGAGGAGAGAAGGCCCCAAGAGGTTCCTTAGCGACGACTTCAAGAAGGAAATCCACTCAAGGGCGATCATCGTCGTTGGTCCAGCGTAGAGCTGGGCTGGCCAGAACCCCGATACGCATGGTATGGTGGGTGCACTAGGGGCGGGGGCGCCGGCCGCCGCCACATGGGGAAGGCAATATCGGGGCTCGCGGACACAACCGCGGCAGGTCATGGTGCGTTGCGTAGGGGAAGTGGCGTCGGCCGCCGCAACATGGGGACGACGGATCCGGGCTCGGGGTGTCGGCACGCGGTGCGCCGCGCTGGGGGATCAGTGGCGCCGGCCGCCGCTACACAAGGACAACAGATCCATTTCTGGGAAGTCCAGAAAGGGGGCTCAGGGACATGACCGCGTCGACTCACGGTGCGCCGCAGGAGGGAGGGGTGCCGGTGGCCACACAAGGGTGGAGTATCCAGGCCCGAGAAGCCTAGAAGAGGGGGGCTTAGTATTGTGACCGTGGCGGGTCACGATGCGCCACGCTAGGGTTAGTGGCGTCGGCCGCCGCCACACGGGGATGGCGGACCGTGACCGGGAAGCTCAAAATGGGGGCTCAGGGACGTGACCGCGTCGGCTCATGGTGCGTCGCGCTGGAGGAGGTGCGTCGGCCGCCACACGTGGACGGCAGATCCAGGCCCAGGAAGCCTAGAATGGGGCTCAGTGACGGGACCGCGGGGGGTCACAGGTGCGCCACGCCCCAGAGAGGCGCCAACCATCGCCACACGAGGACGACAGATCCAGGCCCAGGGCGTTGGATCGCAATGCACCACGTTGGAGGGAGGGCCACCACCAGCCGCCGCCACACGGGGATTCTATTGAGAGAAATGATTGCCAAAAAGAAGAAGATATCTCAAGAAAACAAATTAAGGGGAGAATGTTGGAATTAATTTATTTTCTTGAGATGAGAAAAAATAAATTGATTAGTGGATGCTATACACTGGTTGATCCTTGAAGTTTCTAACAAAGTCCGAAGAAGTGAAACTAGACGCAAGTATGAGTTGAAAAGATGCAAGTCAAAAGCAAATTGAGTTTTGCTAGTTAAGAGGTGCTTGATACTACTAAAAGCTACTGGATTGTTCATGCACCATGAAATGTGATAGCCTTGAGCTGTGTATGTGTGTGAGAGAAGAGATAATGAAGATATTAGTTTGAAGAATAACACATCCCACTGATTTTGCCGTATCCAATTCCTAACACAAATGCCTGTATTTACCCATCCTTGACAAATTGACAAGGTTTGAAAGCATAACATTTTGTTCGATATTTTGATTTGTTCCAAAACGGAGGGGTAAAATCTAATTTCTCCTTTCAGTTGTGTGGGTCCTCCACATTATTGTGACTATGGTCCATGTGGGTCCTCGAGCCCATGTGGCCATATAGATCTCTCCATGATTCCATCCATCATGCTTATCTCCTTGTTACGACTGGCCATGGTCGGCAGCAGTTGATAGCTTACCTTCACAAGGAAGCTGCCACAACTCACAATTAAGCAGAGGCAACCCCGGAAGCTTTGGTGTGTATACATAGCAAAGGCAGCGGATCCCTGAGCTCGAGGTATGTGTAGCATCCCATTTTATTTTGTTTCTTGCTCCGTGCACATCCATTCATTTCATCTCTGATACCTGCCTTAAGCTTTCTACGCTATTCCTTGTGTCTTTGTTTCTAGCAGTTGATTAGTTCGCTACGAAGCATCACAAGCCAGCAGAAGATCCCAAGTACTCTCATCACTGGCCGTCAAGATCTAGGCTCCATCCCGCACTGTGCAACACAAATTCGGAGGTCTGGTACTCTGGTGCGCACGTTGCAGAGGAGAAAAAGGAAGACCACATTTGGAGATGGCATAGCAACAGCAGCAAATCCCTTAGCTCCAGGTATTTAGTTTATTTCTGATAAATAATATACATCCTATTTGATTTTCATGCTTGCTCTAGTCAAGAATTTGTTTATTTCGTCTCTGATGCCTGTACTTTTCCAGCACATAAATCTGTATACTAAAGGTACTTAATACTGGAGCACTCATCAGTCATAGATCATAATCTGGGCAAAGGACTGCTATTTATTTGTCAATTCTAGAGGCAGTGGTATGTTAATGTTGGCATCGTTGAATAGTTCATGTTCATGTACTTTGTATCTTGTACTCTCCTATATCCTGCTCTCTAATTTTCGGACATAGATGACACTTCTTATGTCGAGTTCACTGTTATATTAGAAGGAATTCTACATTGTTTGTAAAGGAGCACTTCAGCAACACGAAGACCGAAGGCGGGATGCATACTTGAGCACCTGTTTACCCAGGTAAGATATCTCAAATATACCGGTTACTATTTCGTACACTTCTATCAGATTATTATTTGAATGAAATCTTCTCTGACATTGGTGTTGGTACTGTTCATGCATTAATGCAGCAGAAAAAAACTAATACTCACATCAAAGCACAATAGGAATGATGTAGTTTCATCATGCATGTGGAGCCATATTTGGTACAGCTCATTTTTGAATTCTGGCCTCATGTTTGGCTGCTCACTGCGAATTCATTTTGCAGGAAATTAATATCTGGCACAGGAGAATCTATAAGAAAAATGACCGGGGTAGAAGCTGCTGCCATATCTGCTTTAGTATCTGGAACCTTGAAGGTTGTGGGCAACAAATTAGCTCCACTACTAATCAAAGAGTACAGCTCTATAGTGGGTGTCAAGGAAGATCTCCAGGAGCTCCATGATCTTGTTGAGGGGATCAACTTTTGGCTGGAAAAAACAGCAGAAAATTCTATTGGAAGTACACAATCATTTCCTTGGCTGAAAAAAGTTGAAAGATATTTCTTATGATGTTGATGATGTTGTTGATGAGTTCCAGCTAAAGGCTGAAAAACATGACTCCAATGGTGACAGTGGTATTGTGTCCAAATACCTGTGCACAATACCAAAATCATTTGTTTTTCAATGCAACTCAGCCAACAAGATCAAGGCAATCAAGAAGAGATTTGCTGCAATCGTGAAGCAAAGAACTGACTACCTAGCAATAACAAATAGTGTGGATCCTCCTGTTCGACTTACGAACATGAGAACAAAGGAGGTGACATCATTGCCTAATGTTGACGAGGCATTAGTAGTTGGAAGAGATAAAGATAAGCAGGAGATAATATCCATGCTTGAAGAGAATGATGATCAACAGAAAATTAAGATAGTTTCGGGTCATCGGGCTTGGTGGGTCAGGGAAGACTACCTTGGCTAAACTGGTTTTCAATGATGGTAATATTATAGAGAGGCATTTATTTGAAGTTAGACTATGGGTTCATGTGTCAAAAGAATTTGTTGTCAATGATCTCATCAAAAAATTGTTTGAAGCTTTTGCTGACAATAATCCAGGAACCCATGCCTTGCCTTATATGAACCAAACTATCTCGGACAAGTTGAAGGGCAAAAGGTTTCTTCTGGTATTGGATGATGTTTGGACCAACTCACGAGATGAGTGGGAAGAATTCATGGTATGTCTAAAGGTTGGCGCACCTAAAAGCAGGATTTTACTTACTACTCGGAACAGAGAAGTTGCGGTAATAGTGGGATCCACCAACCAATTTTACTTACCATTCTTGTCTCCAGATGACAGCTGGAAACTATTCCAACAAAGCTTGGTAACACCTCCTACTGGTTGGGATTTTGAAGAGGTTGGGAAAGCGATTGTGGACAAATGTGGTGGGGTGCCACTAGCAATTAAAGTACTTGCAGGTGCTCTCCATGGGAAGGAGCGGATAGAAGAGTGGCAGGATGTGAGAGAGAAAAAATTATTGAATGTTGATGGTAAAGAAGATAGAGTAGCTGCATGCTTAAGGTTAAGCTATTCCCATCTGCCATTTAATCTCAAGCAGTGTTTTAAAATATGTTCATTGTTTCCTAAAGGTCATAGGATTGATAAAGAACAATTGATTGACCTATGGATTGCTCATGATATGATCGCTGTAGAGGATGGTGTTGATTGCTTGGACTTGGAGCATGTTGGCCACAACCACTTTGAGTCTCTTCTGCAAGTGTATTTCCTACAAAACGTCTACGAAACAGATGGGAGAGTGACATGTGGGATGCATGATTTGGTTCATGATCTTGCCTTGTCCATCTTGGGTGATGAAATTTCACTTGACATGCCAAACGAGGCAAGCAGCAGTACCACAAAGAGCTATAGATACTTTTCTTTGATTAAACAGACAGAACATATGGCACCTAAATTTTTTTTTATAAAAGCACGTGCTGTATATATGCCTAAGTATGAAGATTACATATATGCCATGGCATTGAAGCATGCAAAGCTCTTGCGCAGTGTTATGGTGGGATATCTCAATGCAGAAGGAGCTAACACCATATCTCAAGTTAAGTATCTGAAATATCTTGCCGTTTCAAAACTAGATTGTGAAAAACTTCCTGAGACTATGTCAGATGTTTGGAGCCTGCAAGCACTTCATGTAACACGCAGCTCTTCACTTGCCGAGATACCCAAATCCATTTGTAAGATGAAAATGTTAAGAACACTAAACTTGTCGGGATGTATAAAGCTAAAGAGTTTGCCAGATTCTATTGGTGATTGTCATATGATTTCAAGTATTGATCTTTGCAGTTGCAGTAAGCTTACAGTGTTGCCAGACTCTATTGGTAAGTTGCAGAAGTTAAGAACATTGAACCTATCATGCTGTAGAGAGCTGAAATGCTTGCCAGATTCCATTGGCAGAAACAAAATGCTAAGATTGTTGAGACTAAGTTACAGCAAAGTTGAGAGGCTACCATCAAGTATGACAAAACTGGAAAATCTGGAGTGTTTGGACCTTCAGGGTTGTCGTGAGCTAGTAGAGCTGCCTGAAGGCATCGGCAACTTGGATAAGCTTCAAGTTTTGAACCTAAATTATTGTACAAAATTGGGAGGAATGCCTGTAGGCATTGGACAGCTCAGTCAACTACAAAAGTTGGGCTTATTTCCTATTGGTAAGGGAGAAAAGTTTGCTCGAATGTCAGAGCTTGCAAATGTATCTAGGTTTGGTGAGGAACTAACAATCATAGGTATTCAACATGTGATGGATACGAATGATGCACACGAGGCATGCTTGAAACAGAAGGCAAACTTACAGAGGTTGCGCCTAGAGTGGATGGCAGATTACCCAAAAGAGGTAAACACTGAGTTGGAGCAGGCTGTCCTTGATGGTCTGGAACCACCACCTGGTATTAAAATGCTGGACATTCATGGGTATTCAGGTAGGCAATTTGCAGGGTGGATGCAAAGTCAAGTTGGCGGTGGAGTACAGGGCCCTGCTCCTTCCCATTTTGAGGGAGATGAGGCTATGTTATTTGCCGAACTTGAAGCATCTAGATGGGCTTGTCGACCTACCTTGTTTGGAGGAGCTTTGTCTGCTAAGGATGCCTTCTCTTGAGAGCATAAGTGGAGGCCCATTTCCTTCGCTGGTGAAGTTGAAGATGGATTATCTGCCTTGTCTGGGAGTGGTGTGGATGGTACCAGAGACGACCATGCCCGATGTAGAAGATGGGGGAGGCTGCTACAATTTAACACCTCACTTGGGACTAGTCCGAGTTGGTAGCTGCTTATCAGAGTTAGTGATCAATCGTTGTCCTAAGTTGGAGGTGATGCCGCACCTTCCTCCGTCGCTGCAGCGCTTGAGCTTGCATGGCAGTGAGCTGGTGCTGCAGTCACCAGGCCAATGCCAGGGGTCTTCTTCGTCCCCCAGTTTTAACAAACTGAAGAAGCTTCAACTATGGAATGTGACAGGATTAGGATCTGGGCATGGGTGGGAGCTACTGCAACACATGACGGCACTCGAGTCATTGGAGATTCGTTGCTTCTCTGGAGTGCAAACCGAGGTGCCTGAGAGCTTGTGGAGCCTCACATCCATCCGGTCCCTGAAAGTGGACGGCTGGCCTAATATCCGCATGCTACCCGAGTCGCTAGGGAAACTCCGGTCTCTACAAAAGTTGAGCATCGTAATCTGTCGTAGCCTGATCAGCCTCCCCCAATCAATGGGAAAACTCACATCCCTCCAGTTGCTCAAGATAGGATGGTGCCAAGCACTTCACCAGTTGCCCGACTGCCTCGGAGAACTCTGCTCTCTACGCAAACTCGAGATTACAGACTTGCCAGAGCGGACTTGCCTTCCACAATCCATCTGCCGCCTCACCACCTCTCTTCATGAGCTCACAATCCTCCACTGCCCGGGCATCAAATCCTTGCCGGAGGGGATAAAGGACCTCACGGCTCTGAAGCAATTGATGATCTGTTTCTGCCCTGATCTGGAGAGGCGCTGCAAGAGAGGAACAGGGAGGACTGGCACCTCATCTCCCACATCCCTGATGTCTACATTCATGGTTTTGACGGATGAATGAGGTGTGGCCGTGTGGGAGAATTTGGCCAGCGACTGCATGCTACTGCTTAATCGGGTGAGTTTGTTGTGCTATTTTTACCTGTATCTATGAGCAGTCCCCCTGTTTTCATGTGTACATTCACTTGAGAGCCAATTTCCTAATTATTATTTTTTATTAAAATGTGGTTTGATTTGTGGAATACTTTGGACGAGGATGTTGTTTTGACATTTATGGATTTGCCTATTATTGCATTGCAGCCCACTGCACCTGGGAGCTGGGAGTCCTCGGTTTCAAATGATATGAATTCTCTACGCGCCTGTGTAGTGTAATGCTTCGATCTTCGTCACATAAGTATGGGATTTCACAGAAGAACAGACGTTTGTGTTCTGTTGTTCAGTTAACATGATGGGCCAGATTTGTCATTTGTCATTTGTCAAACTGATAACACACCTCACGTCCCTCAAGGAGCTCAGCATAGAAAATTGCCATGCGCTTGTCCAATTGCCCCAAGGTCTGGGAGAGCTCTGCTCTCTAAGCAAGTTGGACATTTGGCTCGTGCCTGGCCTGACTTGCCTTCCTCAATCCTTGCGCCGCCTCATGTCCCTACAGGAACTCGAGATTAGAGGGTGCATAGAGCTTGGCGAACTGCCCGAATGCCTGGGTGAGCTCCACGGCCTACGCACGTTAACTGTTTGGCGATTGGACAGCATGACCTGTCTTCCCCAATCTTTATGCCGCCTCGCCACCTCCCTTAAAGAGCTTCAGATCTTAGCTTGCCCAGGCCTCACATCATTGCCGGGGTGGATAAAGGGCCTCACCGCTCTGCGGCTATTGGACATCGAGTGGTGCCCCGATCTAGAGAGGCGCTGCGAGAGAGGAAAGGGGGAGGATTGGCACCTCATCTCCCACATCCCCCTCATCTACGGATTGGTTGGATAGGCAGATGATTAGGGTCTGTCTGTCTGTTAGCGGTTCAGTTGGTGAGTTTATGAACCTCTAGCCTTGATTCATCCTTGTGCAGATTCAATGGTGAACCTATTTTTCTGATTCATCTAAATTCATTGTTGGTGTTCAAGGTACCTGTGCAGTTTGCTTCCCTGGGCGTGTACGAAGACCGTATTACTTATGGGTATCCAAATATCAACAGGATTGATTTGCAACGGCAATTTTGAGGTTATATATATATTTGTCAAGGACTCCAAGGACATGCTCGCTACATGGTGGTAACTGGCAGACATCCATTGTTGTTATTTGTCAAACCTGCACACCAATAGCCTCAACTGATTGCAGCAAGCAAAGCACATTTAAAACAGGTTATTTCTCATTCCATAATTTCCTTCTTTTCTTTTTTGGAATATACAAAAGCATCCTTGTACATGCACACAAATGGTCCAAACTTATAGCGGGTGCATGTGTGAGTAGGCTAAAATGCTGAATTGAACTCTGGTTTCAAGTACATGCACATAGATGGTCCTAACTCCTGACGTGATGTGTGAATGTGTCACAATCTTCTGTTGTCAAATTTATTCTGGAGAATGCTTCACATGACACAGCTGTGTGCTAGTTGTCATGCTTAGAAAAGGAATATTGAGCAGTTTTCGTGTTTAGAAAAGGAACATTGAAAAAAAAAGTTATCATATTTAGAAAAAAGAATATAAAGCAGTTCTAATCTGTAAGCACTACATGTAGTTATGATTGGTTTGCTTCAGTAATGGCTTTGCAGCTGATGGAGATGCTACAAAAAAAAAGACAAAATTTTGCAGTGCTTCGTTTCTTGAATAATTTGAATGAGGATGTAGTTTTGACTTTTAGGTACTTCCCTATTATTGCAGGGACACTGCGCTTGGCAATCCTTGGTTAGCCTCAGTCAAGGTGGAAGGCCTGCATGCATGGGTGAAAAAAGCAAATGAACATCTGAGACTATATGATATAAACAAATTCGTTCCAGTATTTCTGCTCTTGGAACCCATGCAAGGAGGACCATTTATACGAACCCATGCATCCTCGAGGCTGCACTCCTCGGGTGGAGTGCTCTGCTTTGCCATGAAGAAATGCGTTACTTACTTACTCTGCACTACTTGCATGTTGCCTGCACTCATGCCAGCGGCTGCAAATTTCCTTTGCTACTTACCTGAGCCGTGAAGTAAAAAGTAAATTGTTGCACTGCACCGTCTATTCTCCACGAGGCGTGGAGCATTCAGTTGTATTAAGCGGACGACTCTGCTTTGTCGACACACCCAGCGTTTTGACTTTTGATCAGAATATGCAGCGTTTGTTTTGATCTCCTTTACATATCAAAAATTCAGATTTCGGAGCGACAAAACATTCTGTTCTACTGTGCAGTTAATATGTGGAGCTACTGCGAGTGATGCACGATGCGTTTTTCTTCCTTGCATGATTTCAGCCTTGTATCTTGAGTTTGACTCTGCTTGTCCTGGCATGATTTCAATCAGGTCCACCAGCAGTCTCGTTTGTTTTTTATGCATTTTGGTGTGTAGACTGTATTCTGTAGGTGCACGGCATTATGGAGCGCTGCATTGTCATTAGTCAAACGTTTTTTTGAAACAAAGTCATTTGTCAAACTGATGACACCTTTGCAGGCTTGCACAAAGTATGCACTGTGCTACTAGCTGCTAGCGGACACCATGGAAATATTCCACCGCCATGCGAGTGCGAGGGAACCGCTGCCTGCCTGGCTATGGCGTGGTCCCCTGCCACTGGGCCTGCGCGTGCGCATGGTGACGCAGCCGCGCGCGGCGGGCAAGGGACGTGCCCGCGGGCCTTGCCGAGCACTCCTGTTCATGGAAGACCACATTTTTTTCTCCAAGTTCTGGCAACCCCTGTTCGGCATGCACACTTGCACAATTCAACACCGAGTACTATGCTCTTTCTTGGCACGTGTTTCCAGTTCAAAGTCCTTTTTTCTTTTCTTTTCACTCTATCTTTGCACTTCATCAAAGACTCCCTGTTCGCTTCAACTTATCAGCCCGGCTTATCAATCATAATACAGTATTTTTCTCTCACAACAAATCAGCATCGGTCAATCATTCTTGGCTCTGCTTGTCTCTTTGTTCCCTTAACAGTGCAGCACGTCAACTTTTGCAATGACAAACACATTATTCCGGAATAATCGTATTCCAATATTTTTAAGATAATGACAAACATCACAACTCCGCGGCAGCTTCCCGGAAGGTTCCTCTTTGCTTGTTGGGCCCCTCCATCCTGTGGCATGAACCATTCATGGAAGACCACATTGGCCCCGTTCAGCTTACCTCATATTCAACTTATTCAGCTTCTTTTTTCAGTAGGAACAGTGTTTTTCTCTCACAACATTTCAGCCAGAACAGTTTATTTCACCATGCTTCTTCACAAAGTTTATTTCACCATGCTCCTATGCGCGCACCTTTAGGAGTATAACATAACGGAACAAGTATATACATAATATTAGGAGGAAGCTCATTCATTTAGGTTTGAGTTCTCGACTTCATGTTGAAACTTGAATGCAGCACTCCACCCGGCGGCGAGAGCATGCAGCGGCAACGGCGACGGCACAGCAACCCGACAGTGGCCAGTGCGTGCAACCCGTTCGACGGTAGGTGCGCTATCTCGTCATCGCCGAAAGCAGCGGCCTTCATTGTTGCTTTGACATCCAACAAAGCAAAGCGTGTGCAATCTTGGCTCGCTGGTCTACGTGCATTGCATCACAACTCCGCGGCAGCTTCCCGGAAGGTTCCTCTTTGCTTTAGGGAATCTATATATGCGATGCACTTTGCCGAGTAATTTACTTTAGCCGTCCACATCTGCTTTTGCTTGTACTCCTAGAGACGACTACACCTTGCTTTAGCAGTTGCTGCCCTCCCTTGCTTCAGAACCTAGCAGTGCAGAAGCAGAACCCTGCCCTCGACTCGAGGTCAGGAGATAAGTTGATGCGCCTGCGTTGTGCAAACCAAGGCCGGCGCCCAAACTTTCCGTCTTGCTGTACACACAAGCAACGGCAACACATCTGAGCTCCAGGTATTTTGCTCTACTACTCTGCCACCTCTTCGATCATTCAGTCGTCGTCCACCCTATATATTTCCTTGTACTCCTTCGCCTGCTATATATACTTTCTGCTTGCACCTGTAATTTCTTGGGTAAATAACATGAGCTTTCTTCTAACTGGTCTCAGCTAGGTACTGAACTGAAGGCCGAACACTCCCTAGTCATAGATCATGGCAACTACAAGGATGCTGTCCTATTGATTCTTCTCTACTTGTGGTATGTTCATCTTACCCTGGTTCACTGGTTTTCATGTTTCTTATCTCTATTCGACCGACTCAAGGGAGGACGCTACCTTCCTTGGCTTAGGGGCACTAAAACTTGATCTGCTCTGAGGGCTCTTGTTTTGACACAACCTCTGGGTTTTCTCAAGCTTCTCAGGTTCTGCCAAGTGTACATGATATACATTCATCTCTGCTTTGCCGGGTAATTTAGAATTATATATAGATGTAATTTATGGGTTTTAAATTATTTTTCATAATAATAGATGTTTTAATTTAGTTGTAGATTTAAGGGGAAATTTTAGTTTCTCTAATAATGACATAAGTGGATTTTTTTTGAAGTGTCACTGGGGGGACAATCCCCACTTGAATAGTTTTGATATATTGTCAACAGCCTCGTTTCTAGGGAACGAGGCAAAACCCTTTCGTTCAATTAATTATCGAAAACCGGACTAAAACCATACAACGGCCCTAGCACAAGGGCGAGGTTGTGGCATATCCACTAATAAGGAAAATAAAACAACAACAACAAATGCCCCTGCCCCACGGAACGGTGGCACAAACACAAAAATATAAGGAAGAAGAGAAAAGCAACACCACCATTACCACCAAGGCACATGAGCTCTTAGGCGATGCCTTAGCGAGGTAAATGAATTCAAAACGTAATCATCATCAGCCAAGCAGGAGCTTAGCAAGGCTTTCGCCCAAGTCTTGTGCCGAGGAGAACTACACATTGACCTGGCTGACCGAGGAGAGAAGGCCGCAAGAGGTTCCTTAGCGAAGACTTCAAGAAGGAAATCCACTCGAGGGCGATCGTCGTCGTTGGTCCAGCGTAGAGCTGGGCTGGCCAGAACCCTGACACGCATGGTATGGCAGGGTGCACTGGGGGCGGGGGCGCCGGTCACCGCCACATGTGGAAGGCAATATCGGGGCTCGCGGACACAACCGCGGCAGGTCATGGTGCGCTGCGCAGGGGGAGTGGCGTCGGCCGCCGCAACATGAGCACGACAGATCTGGGCCCGAGGTGTCGGCACGCGGTGCGCCGCGCTGGGGGATCAGTGGCGCCAGCTGCCGCCACACAAGAACAACAGATCCATTTCTGGGAAGCCCAGAAAGGGGGCTCGGGGACATGACAGCGTCGACTCACGGTGCGCTGCAAGAGGGAGGGGTGCCGGTGGCCACACGAGGGTGGAGTATCCAGGCCCGAGAAGCCTAGAAGAGGGGGGCTTAGTATTGTGACCGTGGCGGGTCTCGATGCGCCACGCTGGGGTTAGTGGCGCCGGCCGCCGCCACACGGGGATGGCGGACTGTGACCGGGAAGCTCAGAAGGGGGGGCTCAAGGACGTGACCGCGTCGGCTCACGGTGCGCCGCGCTGGAGGAGGTGCGTCGGCCGCCACACGTGGACGGCAGATCTAGGCACAGGTAGCCTAGAATGGGACTCAGTGACGCGACCGCGGGGGGTCACGGTGCGCCGCACTAGGGGTAGATGCGCCGGCCATCGCCACAGGAGGACGACAGATCCAGGCCCAGGGCGTTGGGTCGCGATGCACCAAGTTGGAGGGAGGGCCACCATCAGCCACCGCCACACGGGGATTCTGTTGAGAGAAATGATTGCTAAAAAGAAGAAGATATCTCAAGAAAACAAATTAAGGGGAGAATGTTGGAATTAATTTATTTTCTTGAGATGAAAAAAAATAAATTGATTAGTGGATGCTATACACCGGTTGATCCTTGAAGTTTCTAACAAAGTCCGAAGAAGTGAAACTAGACGCAAGTATGAGTTGAAAAGATGCAAGTCAAAAGCAAATTGAGTTTTGCTAGTTAAGAGGTGCTTGATACTACTAAAAGCTACTGGATTGTTCATGCACCATGAAATGTGATAGCCTTGAGCTGTGTATGTGTGTGAGAGAAG